TATTATTATTATTATTATTATTATTATTTGTAATATAAAATTATTATATATTATTATTATAGTACAAATATGAGATTGTATATTTGAGGATGACTTAAATGAATTAATTTGTACAAGTTATACTGACAACATACATATACATCTCGGTAGCTTACTCATTAGAACTTCACAGTTAAGCGTGCTTGACCTGAAGTAGTACATAGATGGGTGACCTTCTGGGAAGTTTCCCAGAAATTGCACAAGTAAGGATAAAACATGCTAAACAGTGAAATATCGTGAAATAGAACCCTTGAAAGGCCAAATATGAGGATTGTTACATTAATAAATTTATTAACATAAAAAAAATTATAATTTTCGACGGGTAAAAAAAGGGTCGTAATATTAATTTAGAGGCAGTTGGTGCGACAGTTGATGAAAGGGTCGCAATGTTAATATATAGGCATTTTGTGCGACAGTTGATTAAAGGGTCACAATTCCAATTTTGCGACGATTTGTGCAACGGTTCTGATAATCGTCGCAAAATTGTCTGGTGACGGACAATTCTGGGACGGTTCCCAAACCGTCGCAATGTTGTCTTTGCGGCAGTTCTAACCGTCGCAATGTAGGCCATATAATCATCGCAAAATCGTCATTTTCTTATAATGATTTCTTATATAATTGTTTATATTTATATTTTATAAAGATGTTAGTCTTTATCTCAATACCGATTGATAGGAGAAATTCATGTGTAATTTAAATATTTCTATATTATTTATTTTTTAATTTAAGACATATGTACCGACTCTGATAAGTTCCTAAATTCACGTAAATATATATTCAACAAAATATATAGAGAGGGAACGGAGAGAGATTATTTTGTTGAAAAGGGAGAAAGATGGGAATGTCTTGCCTCTTACGTCGCCCGGTCAAACTAATGAACAATGCACAAGAAGTCAAGAAGTATTATGAGACGTCACTGCATGCCCTCTTTGACTTCACTGCTTGTTCTTGCATGCTTGCCATGAGAATTTCATGAGTCATGACCTATACATAAAACACTTGCTAGAAATTAAGGAAAATGCTTATTAGTACCAATATTATAAAGCACTAATTAGAAATTAATAAAAATGTCATAAATTTTTATACAAAAATTGCATTAATTTAATCCCCGTCTCATTTATATTTTATTTTTAAATTTATTATCTCCATCCAATAAAATATGAATACGTGTGTTTTTTTTTGAAATCTCAGTCGTAACAAATAGTAGTGTTCAAAAATTAATACCTTTACATGCATGGAAGTAATAATTGATTAGCCGAGCTTTTATATAATAATTAAAAATTATTGATTATTTTCATTTTTTTTATAAGTACATTTGATTAATATTTTGTTTTAATTTCTTGATTATATAATCCTTATTTCATTAAATAAATATACATAACGATAAAAGTAAAGTGAAAAAGTAATGCTTTTCATTTTTCAGAACTAAAACATATTCTTCGAAATAACTGATATTTTAAAATGAAGGAAGTACTAATTATAGTTGATGCTAATTCGTCTTAATGTCCGGTGACTTTGTGATTTACAAATATAGTCTTAAAACCTCTAAAAAGGTGAGCTCGAAAGGACTTCAAAATAAAAATAAACTAATTATATTAAATTAACTGTTTTGGCTTAACACATAATTATGTGCGAGGAATTAAATTTAATTTTCAATGAAAAATATTAAAAAAAAAACACGATCTAGATATCGAGGATCAAGCATACACCTGTTTATTATTAAGGGTGCAATCCATTTCTTTTTTCCTCCGTGTTTCTTAAATCATTTATTTTTTAGGTTTAAATGAGTGAATTCACGCGTGTTAAAGTTGGAGTAAAAGTTGTTTCTTTTAATGTTCCATACTCATATTAATAAATATATATTAACTATGGGATAAACTTTTGATTGGAGAAAAAAAATTAAGAAATAAAATGAATCCATCTTTATTTTTATAAATTAAATTTAACATATTTTAGTTTTTATATTGATCATTTAACTAACTTTTTAAATGTTAAACTACGTAACATAGTTTTAATGTTTTAAATAAATTTGATTCATCTTATTTTTATACTACCACTATTTCTCATGGAGTTTACTTCTTGCTACGTATTTGATTTCACTTTGTTATGCCTTTGAGCATCAATAGTTTTCACGTGGACGTGAGTTTGAAAAATACACTCAGACCATAGGACCTATATATTAGTCATTACGGCCATAAGCAAAATGATTGATCAACTTGAATGCCATAATTCCATAAATAATTGTACAGTTGTACATGTGAATTGCATACATTACTCTGTCCTTACTTTACCAATTACCATTCACACTACGACACAACTATCTGAACCACAGTACATGAATATATAGGAGTATCAATGAAGTGAAATAAAAAATGTAGACAGAAAAGAAACGAAGGAATCAATTAACCTGATACATATTTTCCGACTACATAGAAGAAATGAAGGAATCAATTAACATGAAACTTATTTTCCAACTACGTATATATTTTCTTGAGAACTATTTGCCAAGTATAGGGTAACGTGTGGTCATCGTTGTCCCTTAAACCGAAGGGTGTGGGGGACATTTTAGTGTCCTACGCCAGGGCTGGGACCAGAGTCCTTAATTCCGCCAAGGGTTTCACTGTTGGTAAATTTGTGACCCTTTCCTCCTGGGCTTGGACCCGAGTCCTTGATTCCACCAAGGGTGTCACTATTGGTGAACTTGTGTCCCACCCCTGGGCTTGGCCCAGAATCCTTCATTGCTCCCAGAGATAACCAATCAAACAAGTCCACCACTTCCCCTCCGGTGCCCGAGTTTCCTGTCCCAATGATGCTCAGTGGACGGGCTTCTAGGCCCATCAACGCAGAGTTAACCAACAAGGTGAGAACAAAGAAAGCCTGAATTTTCAACATGTTTGTTGTCATGTTTCTCAATAACGTTAAAAATAGAAAGGGAATTAAGAATGTAGAGTTGGTGTCTTTGTTTGGGAATATGAGAGACAAGAGAGAGAGAGAGAAAGAGAAGGGATTTTGTTTGTGTTTGATACTTGTGCAGCATGGGGTCCTATTTATAGGGGATGATGTCTTGACTAAATTGTATCCTAGCATGCGGTGACGCACGTTCCAATGTGGAAGCAGTCCAAAATTTAGTGTATATATTTTCTTCTATTATATTCAAACTTCAAACAACGTGAGTAAATGATTTTTCTCGAGGAGGAAACAACTTAGGAGGTTCGAAATTATAAAAGTCAATTTGATTCGATTTAGAAAAAGAGAGAGGTTTGATGCTTATTCAAGAAAAAGAGCAAGGAAGAATTATAAAAATGGAGGAATTGCGGGTCCAAGTTGTGTAAGTTGGTAGTAAAACTCATGTGACATGTCACTCGATTTTCCTTGGTGCCCACTGTGTTGGAGTGGTTGGAGAAGTTTGACAGTTTGTGCAGTCGTTGGGAAGTTTCTATAAGCTGCTTCAAGTAGAAGACCAAGACTTTAATTCAAAGAACCAAACGAAAATACCAAGTTGGATTATTTATTTAGCTTGTGTCGTGTATAAGATACAACACGTATACAACGATATGATTATTTTAAAATATATAAGATATGATACTTGTAAGATGTTGTCATATATATCAATGTTCATATAATATAATAATTGTGTACTTATAATTTTGATCAAAATTCATAAACATTAAATATATAATGTTATTTTGCAAATCTAAATTAAAAACACATTTTTTACATTACTAAAAATAAATAAATTATAAATTATTTCATCATAAATTACTTTTTATTATTTATAAATAGAAATAATATTATCAATTTCATTTCTTTCTTAAAATTATTTATATAGAAGACAATTTTTATTTACAGTTCATCAAAGACTAATATTTCTATATTTCTATATTAAACATGTTTATATATCTTATTTAGTTGTAATGGATATTTCATAATTTTTAAAAAATTTGAATACTTTATCGATATGTATCACCAATAAGTATTAGTGAAGTATCTGAGAGTATTGAAATTGAATAAAATTTTGATAATATTTTTAAAGGCTAGAATACTTCATTGACACGTATTGATGAAATATTTAAAAATATCGTATTGAATACATGAAACAAATTGAAGTATCGGTGCTTTATAGGTCCTGATTTAATTAAATGAAAAATCAGCATGAGTGTGGTATATAATTGAGTGCAATAAAAGAAAATGAACAAATATGTGTTAGAAACGAGGGAAGAGGGCTGCGTTCGTGGTGATGACCAGTCAAGCAGTCGTCTATACTATTACTGGATATGGAAATTATTAATTAATAGATTGGGAAGTAGGTTACTACTACTGGATATAGAAATGAGAAATTCTATGGTACCCATCTTATTTGAGAGGTTCATTTTATAATTAAATTAATTTTTTTAAAAATTTTTATGAATTTACATAAAAAAATGTATTGAAACCCCTCGATCTTTGAAGGTACCGTAGCAACTCCCATGTATTAAAGGCAAATCCCCTCTTGAATCACATACAATACAAACGCACATGAGGGGAATCCACATACACATATAATACAAACGTGAGGGAATTCACATACAATACAAACCTGTGTGTGCGCGTGAATGTGCTATGTGTAATTAAAATTAATTTATATTTAAATAAATTTATTGAAAATAACTTATAAATGTTTTTTAAAAGTAGCTCAAAATAAGAAAAACAAGTTTTTGAAACATACTCTTATCTTATGTTTTGACTAAGAATTTTAAGAGAGTAATTATTTTTTTTATAAATTTAAAATGCTTTGGAACAAACTATTTTCTTTAAATAGATTTTTTAAAATTGATATTCTAATAAATTGTGAAAGTATTTTGATTTCATATGTATTATTGTGTTGTGTGTTGTATGTTTTATACATTGCATGTAGTGTGATTATATGTATATGTGTTGCTACGTTGTTTTGAGGTATTTTTAAAACTTTAATGATTAACAAATTATTAAGAGTTTAGTTGTTTAGAGTTGTTATGGGTTAATGTCAAAGTTGACCAAGGATAGGGGAGATATATAAGATTTTCAGATAACTTAAATTTTATGTTATTTCTTAGTATTTTAAAGAGAGAGATTTTAGAGAGATAAACTTTGAAACTAAGGAAGATCTTCTCTTCTTCTGACTTCATTGGAACATCTAGATCCTTCATTGAAGTAGAGTTTGTGTTGTTTGTGTAGAGATTCAAAGATGGGGAGTTGAGAATCACAACAGGAAGTTGTCATACAAAAGGTTTGGGGTTTCTCGCTATTTTTCCTTCTCCTTGATTTCTGGAGTATTGAGGTGATGGAAACTTGTAAATTAATTATTTTTGTGTTGTATGAGTTGTTTGTTGTATTAGTTTTTCCCATTGGTGACTTTGGTATTGAATTGAGGATTGATATCCTTGGTGCTTTTGGTTTTTAGTTGCTTATGATGGTTGTGAAAGAAGAATTGATATTCTTGAATCTTTAATTGGTTGCATGTGGTATAATTTCTTGATTTTATAAGTTGTATAAAGTGATTAGATGATGGATCATGAGTTGCATGTCGCTCAACAATGTGATGGTCGCCCAACGAGAAAATGACTATAGTAGTCTCTTTTAGGGCTCACCCAATGAGGCATGACACGTCCAACAAGAGAACTCACAAAAGGTTTTGCTCGCTTTGTGAGTTATGGTCACCCCATAAGAGAACCCATAAAATGATATGATTGCTCAATGAGTTGTTGACCGCCTAATGATGAGCTCCAAAGAAGTTTGCTCATTTGATAAGCAAAAGCCCACCTAACAAGGAAAACCACAGAGTGTTTCCTTTGCTTAGTGAGAGTAGTGTCACCAGGCGAGAAGCTCTAGAGAGCTTAGCTAGCCTAGAGAGACTACTCATGCCCAACTAGGACTCTATTTTATACTTCATTTATATTTTAAGCTTTTACTTATCATGAGATGTTGCACGTTTGATAATTGTGGAGTTGTGTTGTATTATGTTGTTTATGATGAAAGGTCATGCTGTAGAATATTTATATGAAGTAAGTTGAGATGATTTGCGTTGATTGGATATTGTTCTAATTCTTGCAAATTTGTGTTGAATGAGTAGATATGTTGTGTTGAGTTGAGTTTCGTTGAGAAGACTCATGATGCATGTTGCTTAGTTGTGTTATTAACTAGAGAAGGGTGCATTGTTTTTAAAAGTTGAAATATCTCATTGTATGAATATGAGTTGTGATGCTCTAAAGTTGTGGTGCTTTATACATACATATATACATGCACACACAAACACAAATATCAAATTGCAAAACATAAAATTCCTAAGTTGTCGATCAAATAATAACTAGTTGTTTAAGAGCAACCTCCACCAAAATCAAGCCATCACTAATCTAGCTTAGCATCTTGCTCGCCTTCTGGCCTAATCCTGCCCTACTTCCAAAATAATATGATCATTGTAGTTCAACATGAAAAAATAAAGGTAATATTGTATACAATTAAACAACTTATAATATTGAAGCAATAGTTATTAACTATTTAAACAACATCATAACAACACTACAACAACTAAAGCTCAATCTGACAACCCAAATAATTGTATAACTTAACAACATATCAACATAACAACTTAACAACTTTACAACATATCTTCTTTACAACACAATATTTATATGCATTGTCACACATTTTAACTAAGAGATCTCTTACAATACAAGTGAGTATAGTGACTTAACCCTACCGAACCATAACACATAAAGACCCATAATATCTAGGTCATACAACACAACTTTGGATATCAATCCAATATCAACATAACATTGCTTTCTCAAATTTTTCTACTTAAATTATAAAAGTTCAGTACTAATCGTTAGGCACAATATAACTAGGGTGTAGGGTTGCCACAACCTTTACATGTATTAATCAAGTCACATATGGGTTTAGCTTGCTAATTATCATTTTGATATATACCACACATTTTTGTTGTTGTTAGTTTAAGATTTTACCTCTCGACTTTATACCTTACTCAATAGGTCACAACATAAATAATATAGCTTGACCTTAATTACCCTATATTATATCTAAGGACTTACAGGAAACTCAACACTCCACTTCAAGAAACAACATACTCAAGAAAGGTTTTTCAACATTTGAACTCTCAGAGTATCACAACACATACCCACATAATAGGATATTTCAACTTTCGAAACAACAATCTCTCCTCTAGTCCTAGATTCACAACACAACACAACTCAACAACATACATCATGCATATCGCAACACAGTTCAACTTAACACAACATATACAACACTTGGAATAATATCCTTTTCAACTTAAGACATTTAATACACTTTATTTTCAACTTTTTATAACATGATCCATTAATCATCGCAACATAGTATAAATATAACTTCATAATAATTCATCCCATCATCTTACAATATAATATAAAAGCATTAATTTGAAAATCGTGAAAATAGGATTCACATTGGGTGAGAGTACGATTATGAACAAATGTTCATCTGTTCATGAATGAGCATTGGGCACCATAAACTTGCACTAAGGGAGAACAAAGTTTTCACCCACAAAACTACACTTCTCTATTCAAATTCATTCATCAATTCATACCATCTCAACATGCAAACCCTATACCTTATAATTCATAAGATTTACAACATACAACAACAACAACAATTTCTTGCATCATCAATTCTCCTTTGATCCAAAACACTCAAAAACAAAACCTAAAACATCAAGGTTTTTCACTTTTCAATTCAACACCAAAGCCACCAATGGACAAATTAACGCAATAATCATACAACACAAAAAGATTAATTTACAAGCGTTCCTCATCTCCAGTGTTCCAAAAACAAGGAAAAGGGGGAAGAAAGATGAAAAATGAGACTTTACGAGAACTCATCGCACGACAACCTCTAAGTCTGATTCTTGGTTCCTTTGCTTGAATCTTAACTTATACTATAATCTCTACTTCGGGAAAGGATTGAGACACTTTCATGAAGTTAGAAGAGAAG